GAAGATGGGAAATACTTAAATTAGATACAGGAAGTGATTGCAAAAGGACAACAACAGCAAGACGCTTCCCAGAAGAAAAAGAAAGAAAGCCCATGAGAACATCCAAATCCATAAAAAATCTTTTAGTATCCCAAGGGCTTCAGAATGGAGTCTCACCACTGATTAATTTTCTGAATTCCTGGATGAAAAGAGGCCACAAATCTCAAACACTAAGATGTCCAAGTGGATGAGTATAGGCCAGGTTATTTGAAGGACTGCCTATCTCCCATGGTTTCTGCCTGTCCAGTAAGATTGGGCAGAGTTGGTGTGCTCCATGTCCCTTCAATTTAACACCTTCTACCCGACCCAGGAATTTTACCATTTTGTTATGGTATCTGCACTCTAGAATGTTAACTCTCCTAAAGATCCATTCAAATGATGTTCCAGAAGTCGTTAAAAACATGTTTTTTCTCCCAGGCCTTGAGGTAGGTGGCCATGGAGCTCTGTTAGGTGGTTGTTTTTTTTTAACCAATTATGGGATATTATTGTCTAGACACTTCAGTTTTTTCCTCTATTTTTTATGTTTAAATTGTAAGCCAGAGTCATTTTGGAATAGGCAGTCCAGAGCAAATTAAATCAAATTTTAAAAATAAATTTCAAGGATTCCTGCCTCTACTTTAAGAAGTGACAGGTGGTAAGAATCAGAAACCCCCTTTTGAAAGAAACAGGTGCTAGATCAGTGGTTCTCAACCTTTTTAATGCCGCGACCCCAACCGGTCGTAAGTCGAGGACTAAACCGGTCGTAAGTCGAGGACTAAACCAGTCGTAAGTCGAGGACTAAACCGGTCGTAAGTCGAGGACTACCCAACCGGTCGTAAGTCGAGGACTTTCCCTGCCCGGGAGCGCCGCGCATGCATGGTTCCGCCCCTGCGCCGGCCGAGGTGTAGCTGGCAAGCGGCAGAGACAGAGCAGGCCGACCACCAGCTGGCCCAGCCCAAGGGAGGTAAGGCACCCGCCGGAAAAGGGGAAAAAATGGCGGACAAAAAAAAATGGCGGACAGCCTTGCTTGGTGACCCCCATGAAATGGTCGATCGACCCCAAATGGGGTCCCGACCCACAGGTTGAGAACCACTGTGCTACATTCTCTCTGGTGATGAGTCAGGCAAGAGAAAGATGTGGCACCCATGAGATAAAAAGTCCATTGATAAATATCCTCTGGTCTATATGACACAGCCAAGGGTAATGGCAGAAAGGTGAAAGAGCTGGGACACAGATGGTGTTTCCTTCCTTCCTTCCCTTTCCTCCCCCCTCCCATCCATCCTAGGATGTGGCCCAATAAGAGCAAGCCTGGAAACATCTGGCTATACAGAAGAGGCCAACAGGAATGGTTTAGATTTTAAGAAAACATGTTTCCAAGACAGGAGATTCCTGGCAGGGGATAGGTTGCACCTCACAAGAATTGGTCAGAAGATGTTTAGAAAGTGCTTTGCTAACCTGATCCAGAGACTTTAAACTGAAATAGTACTGAGACTGGAACTGAAAGGAATATGCAGGATGTGTTGGCAATCAATAACAAGGATGTAAATACAGGAAGGAGCACACCAAGTCACAAGGATTCCAAGTGCCTTTATATAAATATTCAGAATGTGGAGTACAAACATTAAGAATAAAAAACTTAATGCAGGAAGACAAGTAAGCTGTGGTGGTGCAGTGATTAGAATGCAGTACTGCAGGCTAATTCTGCTGACTGCTAGGGGTTCAATCTTCACCAGCTCAAGGTTGACTTACCCTTCCATCCTTCCGAAGTCGGTAAAATGAGGACCCAGATTGTTGGGAGTAATATGCCGATCTGCAGTCTGTAAGATCACTTAGAGAGGACTGTAAAGCACTGTGAAGCGGTATATAAGATATATATAAGTGCTATGAACTGGAACTATACTACCTTTAGATCCTTTAAAAAAAAGGTGCTTCTGAAAATGCTGGGAATAAACTAGATACCTCTTAAATATCTGGTTGGTCCAATTTAAAATTTCAGTAACATAGATTGGCAAAGACAATAATCATTGATAAATTAAACTTCAGGGAATAGTAAAAGCCTTTTCTATTTCATACATTCTACTGAAATTATCTAAGAGCTTGTCCGAACAATGAGTAATTTTAAAAAAATGAAGCTATTTTTTATTTAAAAGCTGAAATTTGAAAGTTAAATTTCATATAAATATGTTTAATAAAGTTCATGTGTTGATTTCTATAATGAAAAGGAAACTGAGTGAAATAATTAACAATCTAAAAACATTATCTTTTTTAAATTGTAAAATTAATCCAATTGTGCCTTAGGCATGCCTATAAATCTGGCTCTTCACTCCACTGAATTGCACGTTAGTAACTCATAAATAAAGCAACATCATTACATTTCTTGGTTCTTGAATATGTATTCTTTTTACTGAAAAAAATCACTCATAAGTTAACAAATACAAAAATGTACAAACACACAGGTGAATAAATGCAATGATACAATGAATTGCTTTGCTGAAAATTGTGTGTTTTAACACTAGATTTCAGTGCAAAAATATACCCCTGGAGCTTCACAGAAAACACAGAGAAGCTCAAAACAACAGAAAGAAAGAAATTACATATGATTCAATTCTATCTTTGACAGTAGATGTTTGGCAATGCACAGTGGTTGCTCAGATGTTAAACTGATTACAAAACAGTTTTTACAAAAAAAAAAGAGGTTTTAGCAAATAAAGATCCACATGGCTCATATAAAACATACATTTTTGTAATGATAGCGTTCTATCCCTTAGCAATATTAGCTGACAGTGCTGATGGAAATGGAGAGCACTCTGTTGAAATTTCAGCTATTAATGTACACATTTTAAATGATTTTTAAAAACACCATAACAACACATGAGCTTGACAGTTATGTTTCCAACAAGTACACTTACCATACAATAGCTGATTTATCTGATAAGAGCAACAGTGCACATTTAAAAGATATTCCACACTTTTAAAGGAAGGGCAAGAAAATAAGTTTTTTTGGGGGGGGATCAATCCAGAACTATTAAGAAGTAAAACTGACTCTTTCACACCAATCTTCAACAAGTGCATTTCTTAGCAGAGGTAATTTAGAGGGTGTAGTAGAAGGATGCACAATCTATTTTTAAAGTGTGTGTGTGTGTGTGTGTGTGTATGTGTGAGGCAGGGCATCACTGCCAAATAGCTGTTTGGAAATGTCAAGGTGAATTAAGACAGATTGAAACACATTTTCAACCGAAGCACCATTAAATAAAATGTTAATTTCTACTAGACTTCCAAGTTTAAAAAAAAAAAAAAATACATATGAATTATTCACAACTGAAAATTATCAAAATGTAGAAGTCTTTATTGCTTCATGTGCCATTAAAAGAATAAAAGCTAAATTATTACCTCTGCAGCAACCATAAAGGTTTTATTATGAAACATTTTAAAGCCTACTTATCAGCAAATTCAAGAACAGACCAACTGTACTTTCATCATCAGCTGATAAGATGCACACATGCGCTTTCTCTCACACACACACAAACACACACCTCTTCATAACTCTCCAGATTCAAGAAAATAGGTCTGGTTAATCACCTCCACAACAGTTATCTCTATGGGGGGTCATATATCTACCAAACCCAACATCTTAAAAAAAAACAAAACACCTATACAAGTTAAAGCAACTGAAGGCAACAATGCAATCAAAGAGATTAAAGTACTTTTCACATTAAACTCTGTCTATAAATATATATTAAAGAACAATTTGTTTTACCAGAGTAAATACCCCAGTTTAAAAAAGTCTGTACATGCTATATAAACAGATGGGACTGGTTTTAAACCAGAAAAACAAAACAAAACAAAGGCACAAACCTATTATGGTAGGTTAAAACGAAAACTAGATAGAGATTATGGAGCAACTAATTCTGCCTAATTCACATTTTTTTTTAAACTAATCACAATGCCCTTCATTCTTTTAATTAAGAGTTGGAGTCTGGATACATTTATCCCAGTACTTGTACTTGTGCAATGTTTTCTCTGGTTAATAATCATACCCAAGAACTTCAACCTACAGTTTTAGTCTATATTAGTTCAGTTTCATTTACACAATAAATATATCAAAATATTATTCATATTCCCCTCAATTAAAGTTACAGAAATCAGTATAGACTTTTCCAACAACAGACTGAATGATTTGCAAACTTTAACCAAACAAAGTGGAAACTTGGTTAACTCTCTGGAGACTTTTTGTCCCTTACAAAGATGAAACAGGGAGATATTTTCTCTGATGTTTTGCTGTCTGTTTGGAATATGGAGACAAAATGCAGTGGGTCACCCAAAAAAAAATAAAAATCAACAACCCAGAAAGACTGCAATTCCTCAAAATGCAATTGGCTTTTGCACTTTCATGGATAAAATTCACTTTCCCAATGCCAGATTCCTCCTTCTCCAAAAAACACTGGTATCGTTTCCAAAATAACCAATGAAATGACAAAGTCTCAATCCCACAAATAACTGCTTAAATAGCCCTGAAGAGAATTACTTGCATGAGTGTCATCCTGATGTACTGAAGTGCTTGCAGTTGAGGGCTTACTTGAGTTATGCTAAGTTGTAAACCTTCAGCTTCAGTTTTGAACTGCGTTTTTTAAAAAATAAAGGAAAGCAATTTATACAGCTTATCTACATCTATACTTCTTTAAGAAGTGATTTTGTGTATATATATATATATATATATATATATATATCTTTTTTCCTTCAAGCAAGTCAATTAGAAAACCAATGCAAACACAAATGCAAAAGAATGGCGTCACTGTTAGGTGGCAGTTCATCTCCAATAATGATCATAGCTTACAGGATAGCTTCCAGCACCCTAAGTCAAGAATCCAAGACTTTTTTTTTTTTTTAAGCCAAACTGGTTTTATCAGCAGGAAAGCACATTCAATCTCTATTTGTTACTGGAAATTGCTTAAAGAGATGGAATGCTGGGACAAAAGCAGCAGGTCACACCATTGTTCTTTTTAAAAAGAAATCAAAAAGCAAGTCAAGTCCAAACTCACTGACAGTGTGAATATGTCTACAGTCTGATGATCTCTGTGTGTATTTTTGAAAATTATTCTTCAAAATACTGTGATCCTTCATTAGACACAAGATTATTCTTGTCCAGGAGACATCTATAAAACCATCTCTTGACATTCTCTTCTCATATTCTCTTAGTATTCACTCACCAGAGCCAGCTCTGGTGATAGATTGACAGTTATGTTTTTATACAAAGAATCATATGTAATATTTGGAAAATAGTTCAAATTATTGAGGCCATCCAATTCTTGCCTCTCTTTGGACTTCCTCAGCAGTGCATATCTATTGAAAAAAAAGAGAGAAAACATTAAAACCAATATTTTTCAACATTAATATGGATACACATTTTGAATATCAATAGTTTCTTAATTTATTAGAAATATTCAAGTGTAGCCTACAGACATCAAAAGTCCATTCATGTCCACTTTAAAAGGTATGACTTTGTAGGCAGAATACAGATTCAACCTGGTTCCAAAACTTTACATCCCACTTGTAGCTTCATTTTGTATTTGCATTAGTTTATATACACAGTACATAAATATGTACATACAATATGAACACAGATAACTGGATTAACTGAGAAAACTATGAATAAATTAACCATGGGTAGGGACATCATATGAACACAAGCTTCCTGTTTTAAATTATCCAGTACTTTTCTTACACTTCCTTGAATTTTCTAATATTGGTTAACCACAGTATAAGTTTCAACATGTTGCCCAAGACCTGCTCTGACCAATTCTGATGAGAAATAAAACTATTGCACCCATTTTCCTTCTCCATAAGCCTCATCTTGAATCATTAAAAAAATCCATTTTCATTTTATATAATGAAAGATATATTATAGTATCCTGGTAATAAATCAGCATGCTCAATGAATGGAACTCACTTGACTCACAATGAATGGGATTCAAAGAGTTGTTCTGTTTGCTAAAATTCATCCTTTATACAGATTTCAGACAGTTTTATAAATATACATAAGAATGAAAACTCTTTTTCTGACATTTTCATTTTCTTACATTCATGAGAAAGGCTGGATCACAAATTCTTAAGAGCTTTAATATTCTTATTTTTCATGTAATCATTTAATAGTTCAATCACTTGGGTTTATACATTGCATAAAACCGTAATATGGCTTAATGTTATGTGAGTCTGCTAACTATGGTTTATGCAACAACTAATCATTAAATAAAGTGTGGGTTTTTGTGATGTATAATCCAAGCAATACATTTTCCCAAGAAAAACTGACCTATATGTTTGCAAGATATACTTATAATTGAATGAATCACAGTTAGCTTTCTGAGTTTATGTGACACACTGAACTATACATTAACATATAATTATTTTAAAATAGTCTTGACATATGAATCCAGCCAATGTAAAGCAGAAATAAAGGACATGATTGTAATTTGTATGATTAAGTGATTAAAAATATCAATGCTTTTAAGACCATAAGTCAGTAAAGGAACTGAAGGAAGATATCTTTCCTTTTAATTCTCTATTTGTGGATGACTACTATCAGTTTTGAGGTTATGTTACAGAAAATTATTCCTTCTGTTTTGTACTAAATGATTCTGTATTCATCTTTTCTATCATTTACAATTCCTACAATGAGCATGTCCACACAAATGAGTTACAACAGTACTAGACGGCAGGACAGAGATCTCAGTTCAAAACATTATGAAACAAAAGCAACATAAGCAAGTGCTTTTGTATGAGGATGTAGTTATCAGTGGTCCAATTCGACAGCAATGAACAAAGCAAGATAAAAATGTGCTGCCAGTTTAAAGAAATTTAAAATCATTTTGAAAAATGACCCTGAATGTATAAGAAATCTTACACTAAAATGCCGAAACTACAACACTGAATGGTCTTCCAAGTGCACACATAAGCTGTTACAAAAGAATTCCTGATATGCTGATATACTCCTTTTTATTCCATAACATTTGACACTTTTATATACAGTCACAGTGACCTTTTTATACATTTACTGCTTGTTGAAGTTTGAGATCCTCAAGTTGAGAACTCTCTCTTCTCAAATATATAATTGGGAGCATGTTCATGTGTACGTATTACATATTGCATACACACATGCATGTGTGTGCATACATACAGCTTCCCCTAGTTCTTGTTCCATATCCTGAAACTATAATATATGGCATAATTTCATACCAGAGATCCCTAGCTGCACCCTGTTTGGATATGGCATAAATGTCACCCTTTCAGCATAGAGCTATAACCTCTGTCAGCATATATTCTCCACTAGCAAAGCGTAACCAGAAGAACAAAAACAGGTAATGACATGTATGTCACATAAATGTTCATAATCCCATAATTCCTAAAGGTGCAATTTTCCCCTCCACTTCCCCTTCAGTAAGAGCAAAGAGAAATATGTTGCTGGGATAGAAGTCCCTTTAGTGAACTCCTTGTCAATCAAACTAATTAATGTTCTATCTCTTGCAAATTACAGTCTAAATTTCTCCTTTGGACTTGCTAGCAGCTGGAACTGAAACAGGTAACCATTTCATAATAGCACAAGGAATGGTGGGGGGGGGGAGAGAAGAGACAGTGTGAGAATTCAGGAACTCAGTCTTTGAATAAAGCAACTAAACAACTAAAAATGATTAGTTCGAAAACAAGAAAGGAACAACTGTAATCCACAGGGGAAAGCATTTTAAAAAGTTGCTTTTGAAAACACGTTTTCCGTAAATGTGGTGCTCCGGAAATTTTCCTTAATTTCCCTGTTTAAATTTTTAAGGCTTAGTTAAAGTAGTTATTCATAACTTAATGAATCCTAAAATAAGCTTTGACCCAAAGTAGTAACTTTTTTTTAACTAAACCAGCTTGGGGTATTGAACTCTCTTTTGCTTTGCTTTCCGCACAAGCATCAATGTCCCACAAACACTTGAGGCTAGAGAGAAAACCTCCAAATTATAGTTGCTCTAGTTAATAATAATAATAATAATAATAAAGTTGGAAGGGACCATGGAGGTCATCTAGTCCAACCCCCTGCTCAGGCAGGAAACCCTATACCATTTCGGACAAATGGCTGCCCAGTCTCTTCTTAAAAACCTCCAGTGTTGGAGCATTCACCGCTTCTGGAGGCAGGTTGTTCCACTGGTTAATTGTTCTAACTGTCAGGAAGTTTCTCCTTAGTTCTAGTTTGCTTCTCTCCTTGATTAGTTTCCACCCGTTGCTTCTTGTCCTGCCTTCAAGCGCTTTGGAAAATAGCTTGACTCCCTCTTCTTTGTGGCAGCCCCTGAGATATTGGAACACTGCTATCATGTCCCCCCTAGTCCTTCTTTTCATTAAACAAGACATACCCAATTCCAGCAACCGTTCCTTATATGTTTTCCAGTCCTCTAGTAGTTTTCCAGTGCTCCAGGATCTTTGAAAAATATAGTTCAGTGGTTTTGAGATCACATCTGCCAGTTCCCTGAGAACCTTGCGGTGTAATCCATCTGGTCTTGGTGATTTGAACTCATCTAGGCTGGACAGATGCTCACTTACCATTTTCTTGCCTATCTTAACTTGTGTTTCTATTCTGTTTTTTATGGCACTATTTTTGATAGGTTGATCTACTGTATTTTTTCTCTTTGTGTAAAGACAGATGCAAAAAACGAGTTAAATAGTTCTGCTTTCTCCCTGTTGCTTGTCACCTTTTGTCACTTTCACCCACTAATGGACCAATCATTTCCTTTCAATTAAACGGTAACTTCAACCACAAAGTGAATGCTAAGAGAAAAATAGGAAGAAATATCATCTCAAAAAATGAAATGATTGGCTGGAGAGAAGGAGATATTGGAAAGTAGACACTGTATACTATAAACTCATTTTGTGTTTCAGAATACAATTACTTGGAATATACAGTGCAATATGAAATTCGTATTTTACATTAAAATAGGCCTATAAAAATCTCTATATGCGTGATACATAAAGGCCACTTTAAAAGATAGAGCATTCAGTACCAAGAATGTAATTTCAATTCATTTTCAAAGTTATTACAAATAAGTATTGATCTGCATGAGAGATCTTGACACAAAATTTTCTATGAGCACAAACTTGTCATACAACCATATGTAAATGAAGATAAAGGAGATAAAGCTATGGCATCATTTGGCAGCCTATTTCAGTGGGAAGTAAATAGTATTCTCTCAATGGTCAAGACTATAACTTGAAGCCAGAACTGTAGTTGGCATGGGAAATATGTGGGCTACAAGTACTCCATATCTTATGACCTTTCATTTAAAGATCATTTGAAGTTATGAGAGCACTAAAAAGAAGGACATAGGATTGGTCCTAACATTTACAACAGTTGCAGTGTCCCCATGATCAAAATTCGGGCATTTGACAACTATCATGTACTTGCAACCATTCCAGGGGCCTTTTGATAACCAAATCTGGATTTGCTTAATTTTCATGTGATTTGCTTAATGACCATTGCAAAAAGGTTGTAAAATCAGGTGCAATTCATTTAACAAATGCATCACTTAGCAACAAAACTTCTGGTCCCAAATTTGATTATAGGTCAAGGGCTACATGTATATCCTTGAAAGCGGAGGTTACAAAGACATTATATTTGCCAACAAAAGAGACAAGGGATGTTAACATTTTGCTGAAATCTGTTTGTGCTTTTCCATTAGAAACATCTCAATATTTAGCAAGGCTTACAATCATTAGGAAACTGCTGGGGACAAATATATATTGACTGGAAAAACAAGGAGCGCATGAATTAGTTTGTTACATAAGATAATCTGAACTACCATAATTACCTATCCCACAAATACATATATTTTTATGCAGAGATAGAAAGTTAATTCTATCTTAGAATCATCTTAAACTTGAAATATAGTCAGATGATCAAAAGTCATAAAGAAAAGAAAAGAAAAGAAAAGCAATGATTTGAGGTTACAAAGTAAAGATCCACAGGATTTTTTTTTTAAGATGAACAGTTTAATGGGTTCAACCATCTAATTGGTGAATGCATACAATAGTTTGTCTACAATGTTTAGGAAATACACTGGAGGTTTTAGATGGTTAAACTTCACCATACCCTTTTAGCTTAGAATGACATCCACTCAAATCTGATGGATAAGGAAATCTGCATATATACAAATATTTATAACAACATTTTACTTACCTTCCTAAGAACTGAACTTCCCCTCTGTGATGATGGGGAATTGACTTATATCTCCCTGTATCTCCTTTTGGTCGACTAACCAAATAGCCTGCATAGTGAACCCTGGAGGAGAAAAGGAGTCATTAAACTGCTTTGAATTTAGTATTTGCCAACAGTAATCATTTGAGCAAACATCATATCAACATTATTCATAAGCAAGCATCCCAACATATCCTCCTAAATTAGCTTATTTATACACTTTTTCATTTGAATTAGTTGTGTGGTAGCCTATTATTATATTCCAGGTAGAAAATGGAATAAGCTGTTAACTATGAAGCTATGGGACACAACTGTAATGAGTATGATTGTTATGTACTTGTAAAAACAGCTTATCTAATAGAGTAAATTAACTGTACCCAGGAAATAAACAGTACTTCATGGGTCAACTTAAATTATAAAAGTGGAAGATGAAGTAGATTTGTTTATTTTTTTATTATTTTTTTATTAAACATATGCCACCCATCTTGCCTAGAGGCGAATCTAGGCGGCTTACAATAAATAAAAGCAACAATATGAAACATTAAAACAATAAATGGTAACACTAAATTGATTTAAAATTAACAAAGATGGGAAGGAAAAGTAACTTTGCATCAGTGATAATGACATGGCTATGGAGATGGACATTGTCTAGATGTTATCTTGTAAGACTGACAGCTGCCAAAACAGAGCTGAATCGCATAAAGAGAAAATAGGACAGACTTTCAGGCAGTTGAGTATTGCTAAGATGAGTATATAATGCAAGATGTAACCAAGGATACAAATTTTCCAAAAAGACTGACAAAAGTCACTCCTTTTTCATTTTATATTGCAATTCTTTTTGTTCAGAAGTCTTGTAGAATCTGAAACTAAATCATGGAGCCCTGTCAATTGGAGTTTACATGCAAACCATCCTCTCCACCCCCTGCAATGCAACACACCTGTTCCAAAGGTCGTCATCTTCTCCACCCCAGCCCCAGAACGCATTTGCAAAGCCGTTGATTTTTTTGAACTGTTCCACAGTCAAGCCACTCACTCCACCAAAAAATTCAGTATATGGAAGGCTACAGATACATGAAAATAAAAATGTCAGTCAAGTTTGAAATGAATAGTTTTTAGTGGTCACAGAAAATATGTTGTTGTAGCATGTCTGTTAGTTTTAGTTACAGTAGTATCTGCTTCTAATTAATTTTCTACTTTTAGCATTAAACTCACTAGGAAATTAAACTTACTTACATATACATGTACTTATCCAACTTAGCAGCAAAATGTCTTGGCATCTGTCCACACCCATAATAGTTATGATCGTTCTCAGGTATATGATCCACATCGTGAAAGATCAAACAGTCCCAGTCCAAGTCTTTCATAGCTTCCCAAAAGCCAACATTAAAGAGCATAGCACGATTAAAGGGCTGATTCCCTGCCTAGAAGAGAAGCCCAATATATATAAAAAATAACATTTACTTTCATTCATACAACAATCTGAGTTCCAATACTTGAAGTGGATGAATAGGTGCGCTTAGTTGCTTTATATCTTACAGTATATAAGTTTCCTTTTACAAAGACATGGCAATCGAATGAAACACAAAATTTTCTTAGGCAAAATACGAAAGAAAAAGGTTGTGTTTCATTCAATTGCCATTTCTGACATATCAGCAGATTAAGGTCTATAAATAGACGTATGAGGGTTAGGGACCACTGTAAAACCTAAATACAAATACCAAAAAAGACAAACACTATTGCCAGGCTAATTCTTGATAGATAGGAGTTTAACTTATGCCTAATGATGCCATGCTCATCTAGATAGAAAGGCTGAATTTGATTAACACATAAATATAAATGCAATGCAAAATTTATATATCACTATTGTCCCGTGATAACCCAACCTAGTTTGTACAAGAATACAAGCATAAGGATCCCACTTCCTAGTTGGATCTTACACAAATGTGTTATAGAAAATTGTACCAAAAAAGAAAAAAAAAGCAAACATGCAAACACTGTAAGAGTTTCATCAAGGAGAAGTGTGGCGATTTAAATCTGTTTGGGGAGCTACTAACCTCTCTTCAGTTTCATACAAAGTTGAACCAATTATCGGGGTATGTTGAGTCAATTAAAGCTATATATGTCTTAGGAAGTACCAAAATTTTGATTTAGATAGTCTTAGGTTTTAACTACAAATCAACAAACAAAACACACATCCCCTCCTGGAAGACTTGCATGACTTGAAATTTGAAACAACACTCTGAGCATCAGAGATATAATATTGTTGAGCAAAAACCCTATGAGTATATCTTTCTTATAGGATTTTTGGAGCCCTGGTGGCACGGTGGTTAGAATGCAGTATTGCAGACAAACTCTGCCCACAGTCTAAAGTTAGATCTTGATGAGCTCAAGATTGACTTAGTCTTTCATTCTTCCAAGGTTGGTAAAATGAGGATGCGGATTATTGGGGGCAATATGTTGACTCGGTAAACCCTTAGAGAGGGCTGTAAAGCACTGTGAAGCGATATATACTGTAAGTCTAAGTGCTGTTGCTATTATACAACAGATCAGCATTTCTCCATCATTAGATCCTTAAAACTTTCATTTTATAAGTTCAAGTGAAACATTTCCTTGAAGATATTTTATAAAGCAATATGGTCTCCTTGCTTCTAAAAATGAAATGTATACATCATTTCATTTCTCTCCTGAGGCCTCCTCCAGCAGTTCCAATAACAGAAAGAATATTTTATATTTGCACTCTGCATGGGTAGAGGTTTCTGGCTAGGGATACAGCCAGCCCTCATTAAAAGAATTACTTCAGTATTTGACTTGATGAGAAAACGTTATCAAAACAAACTTGTCTTCACAAATCTAGAAATTAACCTTGAAATCAAAAACAGTATATGCAAACTTACTTGCTCAATGACATAAAATGCAAATTGCAAACGTTGGCGTTGCAGCATTGGAATAAGATGTCTAAAGAGAACCGGCAAATGTTCAAAACGATTGCGGAATGGAATAAGAATAGCCACCTACAAGGAGAAAGATCATTAGCTCTTCTAAGATCTTGCAAGCAACCTAAACTATCAATACCAGATAAGCTAAGATATAAACCTCACATGGACATTATTTTTGTAAGTAAAATCCATAAATCCGTAAGAGTAGGCAACTGGCTTGCCTAAATATTCTATTTTTGCAAAATTCTGTTCCAATACGTTACAATAAAACTCTATTTATCTTAGCCTAATAAGATTCCAGAGACAAAGCACATGATTTAGACTTCTGATTTAGAGGTTAAATGGGCTCATTATTTCAGTTCTTGTAAACAAACCTCATTGCTTGCTAATACTAAATATTAGATTATAATTAATAACATTTAAAGCAATGGCTTCAGGCTTGGTTCTTGAGCTTTCATTACATTAAAATATCATATTGAATTCCAGTTCTTCAAGACAGATCCCTAATTTTATTTTTAACATTCCTAGGATCAGTTCTTCAAATGAGATTTCCAAAGTGCAGAAATGAGTAGTGCTAGAAATTTTGCTTGCAACTTGTGTGTGAGAGACACACTAATATTAGCTGGCTGAGTAATAAAATATTTGCAAGCAAACAACTAAGCTCAAAAAGCACAGTTCAATCCCAAGCTACTCTACAGATATTCTCTTCTATTACAACAGGGGTTCCCAACCGGGTGCGAGAAGATATTCCAGGGGATGCAAAAACTTGGGTTTTCAAAATTATAGCGTATATGCATAATTCGTTGCCGTTATTTAGAAATTTTGTAAGCGGTGCGAGAATATATCAGAAACGTTCTGGAGGTACGGGGTATAGAAAAGGTTGGGATACAATATAACAGCTACCAATTTTTTTTTTTTAAACCCTTGAATTATAAGGCCAGCAGGTTCTATAAAAAGCATTTCAAAAGAAAAATTTAGCACACAACAAACTCAGGATTCAAGATGGTATATAGCATTATTGTTTTCAGCATTCCCCTTTTGTAGCTTACTTTCCAGCGAGGCAAGCAGTCACTAGGCTTCCAATGACCTCCTAATTTGATAGTAGGGTCTTGAGAGAAGAACTGGTGGATCTCATCCATACTGATTTCACTCATATTTATATCAGTTGGCCCCTCTGTGTACGTAAATAGCAGAAAATGAGAAGTGGCAAGCACAGCCATAAGAACATGTTTTGCAAATATCTCATCATATTATGCATTTTGCTGATATACCACTGTTATTGCTATCTTGCAATCAATTGTAATTTTCAGAATTAACTCCCCCTTTATTATTTTAAACATTACTTTCTGAGCAAAGTACTAAGCCAATAAATTTATTTAAAGCTACAGATTTGGAAGAATAAACAAATGCAAGCTGCTACTTCCAGATACATAACATATAACAATATCGCACTCTTACTGTACTGCTGAGCATGAAGAAAGGAAGTACATAAGCTCCACATAAAACAAATATCTGGATTTGCCAAACTTGCTGGAGGGCAATTGCTACTTATGATAGATGACAAATAATTTTACTGGGCCTCATTATCCTTCACTGATATAATCACACTCATCAATCAAGACAGCTTATTCCCAAATTTAGAGCACAGAAACTCAGCAAACACTGTTAAAACATGAATCTTTCAAGTATATGCACTTATAATGCTTCATTGGATATACCAGCGTTTAGAAACAGTAGACGGAACTCAACATTTTAGGATAATCCTGTTTAACGTTCGGGTATTATAGGTAGTCCTATAATGCTTCGGGTATTATAGGCAGTCCTCACTTAAGGATGGTAACTGGGACTGGAATTTCTGTTGCTAAGCAATGCGGCACATAGAGCAACAACACATAACTGCACTGCTAAACAATGGAAATTCTAGCACTTTTGATTGCTACTCCAGTGCCATTCTTAAGTGGAAAGACACATGGTAGCCACTTGCAGGTTTCCCCATTGACTTTGCTTGTAGAAAGCCAGAAAAGGAGGTTACAAATGGTGATCACATGACTGCAGGGACATTAATCTTCATAAATAATGAGGACCAGCTGTATGCGTCTACCTGTCATGGCTGAAATGTTATGGCTTGAACCTTGACATAATTTTGAACGTTCATTAATGAGTAGATATTAAGCTCAAATGACCTATATTTTTTTTTAGGTGTCCCTGTACCACCTGTATAGATATCTAAGAACGTCCATGTGTCTATGGAGAATAATAAAATGTTTTTGGTGACTATAAACTACCTTTAAATATGATAGTAGTTCCAATCTATACATGATAAATAACGTGGTAAAAGGTCTCTATTTCTCTCCCATCCTACAATTGAAAAAATCTGGACATGAATGAAATAAGCAGATTTTATTTAATAAACAAAATAATATCTGGACCATGTAAAGCAGGCATGTCAAACTTGCGACGTCACGGAGCTTTTTTGCCATTGCTGGCAATGGGGTGGGCGCGGCTCCGGGGCTCCGGTATGATGAAACCGGCCTGCGGGCCGGCAGTTTGACACCCCTGATGTAAAGCCATGAAGGGATGCTTCACTCAAGGAATATTTAATGGAACATCCTTTTTGCATCTGTTTTGCTAAGCAATATTCCCTGCCCTCTTACTATAAACAAAATAGTTATCTTTCTTCACTTGACGCCAATTCAATGGCTTATCTAGCATTTCAAGAAGTTGTTTCTGTACATTCTGAAAGTATTGGATGAAGTTTTGATGTAATATAAAGCAATTCAAGGAAGTAAGCGGCAATTTCCTTTATAATATAAACTTAGTTCAGCAATCTACTTATTACATGAATAATTAATTCTAAGTCGTACAAATTGAATTCAGAAATCAGTTGTACAAACTGAATTCGGAAAAATTTAAAATATATGGAGCAACACTGAAATAAATAAGGTTTCAGACAATTTATTTCTGGTTGGAATATGACTTTACATATGTTAAGCATATAACTGGAAAGGGAAAAGGGTGATTATGTAAATTGTAACAAAACTTACTCATAGAAGGGAGCCTCTCAGGGCAAGTATGATTTGGAAAATAGGTAAAATCTTCAGGAAGGAAAGTTGTTGTTTGCAGAAAGTTTTCACTGTGATTCAAATCAAGAGAATAATCTGATGGAAGAGTGAGAAAATAAGACTGCTACTCAAAATTATTTTATTACTTTCTATTGCTAGCCAAGTCATTAGGTTTATTTCTTAATATCTTTAGTATTATACAACACAAACAATAACTTTCATGATTTCATCATTAGGAAATGAAATTTCCTCCCAAAGAAAGAAAAGAAATTAAAGAATCAGTGCATTAAATATCTATAAAGCCAGTAAAGGACACTGATAATTGCATCAATATATCATTGTTTATTTTATTCATTTAGGGAAATCCCAATGTTTATTTTAGGATTTGCCATTTGCAATGCTGTGCTCATATTTTATATATCAACAGTGCTATGAAAGCAACATTTGGATTTTTATTATGTAAAATGGAAAGCAGAAGCTGATAGAATTATGGAGACTTAATTCAAGCGAAGTTCCTGATAGTGGCTATAAAAATACTAGCTGACCTATCTCTTTTGATAAAGAAACCATTCTTCTTTCAAATCAGATTTTTGTTAAGAAAAAAAGCTTTAAGTTCATTAATACACCACCCGCACAATGAATTTAAAGTTTAATCCATGATGCTTCCAAACAGGGCTGAAAAAAACTCCATCTAACATCCTGGCCAGGCACTGTACAGTATTCTGAACTAGACAAAATTATCTAACATAACAAAACTGTTTCTTGACTTTTCTGACTGCATCTTTAAAAGACTCTATAATGCATGAACACAAATGAAACTCAGACAAATAATCTGGGATCAGCAACACATTTCCCATTTCTAATATCCATTGATTGGATATTTAATCTGGGCCCATTTCAATTTATACGTTATAACACGTTTTTATTTATGATTAGTTTATTTCATTTTACAATAGCATATACCAGTGATGGCGAACCTTTTAGAGACTGAGTGCCCAAACTGCAACCCAAAACCCACTTATGCATCGTCAAGTGCCGGGTGGGTGTGGCCCATTAGATGGGCATGGATGCGGTGGTAACGGCAGACTGGATGGGACTAAAAAGTTCAATCAATCAATTCCAACTTTGCAAGATCTTTTTTTTCCCACGAGAAGTTGAAATTGACTGATTGAACCTTTTTTTTTTTTTTTTGCAAATGGTGGCGGAGGCCTAAAGTGAAAAGGTTTTATAAAACCCAGCTGAAGGCCTAGGAATGGGGCAACGGCGCATGTGCCCACAGAGAGGGCTCTGAGTGCCGCCTCTGGCACCCGTGCCATAGGTTCACCACCACTGGCATATACCAATTATTTTGCAAGACTCTGTGCAAGTAAAACATAAAAATAATAACATAATAACCAAAAGGAGTAACAGGTATCAAGTCAAAACTAACAGGGATGTTTATCTTTTCAACAACTTCAATCTATCAGCTGAAGACCAAACAAAACAGAATGGTCTTCACCTGCTTCCAAAACATAAAACGCTCTTCATTTCAGAAAGAAGAGAATTCCAATGACCCAGGGAAGCCATAGGGAAAGCCTGGCTCTAAGTTGTTGTTTATGACAAATGTTCCAGCTAGCTGCAGTTATTTACATAACAGTTTTTAAAATGCCTTATGTGACAAGTATATTTCCTAGCACTGAAGATGAATATTTTTCTTGTTCTAACCTAACATATCAAATCTTGAAGACATGCAGACTAAAGTAAAATAAAAAGATTCTAATTGTTTTCTCCAAAATTTAGATTGTCCTCTATTTTTTCCAAGGTCACAGTGTTAAAGAGTTCAACTATCAGAATGTGTAATAATTGCAGCAGTATGTTCGTATTTCACCGTGACGGAGGCCAATATGAAACTGAAATTAGACAATACAAGGCACTCCATTAGTATCTATATTAGCAAGTTTATTGTACTTACATGTTACTGTCATAAGAACATATATATTCTTATCAATAACAAACCACTAATTCCTTTTTTCTGTTTTTTTATCTTAATTTTTATGATATCTACACTTTGTACAGATCTGAATAATGCATATTTAGACAACTAGAATTTTAACTCATGAATTTCCTTGATATAAAACATATTACTCAGAATGCTTATTTTTTTAATTTTACTATTTCATTTCTAATGAAATTATTGTGGCTTTCTTATGAATGAGCCTGTGAATGTTCATGTGACAATATGCTGATTTTCATGAGAAAATTACATGTAAAAACAAAGAAGCTGGTTGGTAAATGAGTTCAGAGGCAGCATAGCCCTCTAAATACAATGAGATGTCCAGAGTAAACATAGGAGATGGGTGTCAAACTCGCCGCGTCACCTGACATGCCATGACGTATTGTGACCTTTTTCGCATTGCCGGAGCTGCGGTGGGTACAGCCTCTGCATGATGCAACCGGCCCATGGGCCGGCAGTTTTACACCCCTGACATAGGAGATCCTTAAATTCAATCTCCAACCAAGTTTTTTTTCTTTTTTGCGAATTAACTGCTATGAGGCCTTAAATTAATTTCAAAGTTGCTTTAAGATAAAAGTAAAATAATTAAGAACTGCAAAATTCTTTAAAGTATTGTAAAATTATTAGGGAGCAAAGAATGGAGAATAAAATTATTTTGCTGCTACTATTGTTATTATCAGCAGTAAAAGCAGCAAAAGCACGTACATTAAGGTATCTTTTCACAGATACCTTAAACTGTTATTTCATAGAAACTGTGACTGCACCTTTTATGTAAGTTTTTTTTTTCATTTTTTAAATTTCAGATAGAAAAAGGGAATTGATGAAGGGGAGTTTATTAAAACATTTGAAAGATACAGTTTGAATGGTGTATCCTAGCAATACATTTGGCAGTTGTTTTGCTGCATATCACCTTGCAGAGTGTTTTTTTCCCCTTATATCAGGAAAATGCTTTAAGAAATGGAGGCAATTGAAATTTTCAAAGAAGGTAAGATTGGCTGGGAAATCTGAAAAAAAGGCAGTGTTATATATATATATTGATGCCTACAGAAGTCAAAAACCTTGCAAAAAACCCAAACAAATTAGAAATGATTTTCTTTTTCCCTGGGTGTAGTTTCCTTTATATGGAAATCAAATGACGTTATTGTGAGACAGTACAAAATAAGCAGTGCATTTTACTATGAATAATAATAATTCAAGAAACACATGTCAACACAAAGGCCACTTTCTGTAAAAACATGCTTACTCATTTTAGGGTGAAATATCATGGACAGAGACATCAGTGCAATGCAACATCCCAGCTAATAACATTTCCAAGAATAAATTATTTTGACATATAACATTTTATATTTTAGAATGAAGCTAGAGCAGGAAACAAGAGCAGAGAACTATCCCTGCACTACAAATGAACCTCTAACAAGATACTTTCACTTTCTCTGATGCATCATTTTCTCCAGTCAAGTCATTATGTTATTTAATGTAGCATTACAGGTACAACCAGATATTTTTTACATTTTAATATTCAGTTTTATTTTAAAGTTCTTGATTCATGCTAGAACAGTAGTTTTTATGTGTTTTATATATTTCCTATATAGTACTGTTTTCCTGTTTCTCTCTTTTTTTTTTAATGTTAGCATCTATGTAATTCACCCAGAGAATTTGGCTATTGGGTGGGTTAGAAGTAAAATCTTAGTTTGAATGGTGTTGAAAATAAAATTCAAAAATTAAAACAAAGAACTCTTTTTAAAAGCCACAACTATTTAATTATATGATTTTATATGGCTGCCCGAATAATCGGATTATGATTGATTATGATCCTCCCACGTAACTAAAGGCCGGAACAAGATACAAAAGTTGGTTGTGCTAAATAAAAACATCTACATTGATAGTAGTTTCCAAAATTGGTTACTGCAACAGAAAATTTCCTACTTTTTGCATCAGGGATCTCATAGTCACACCATCTAAGCCAATTGAAAAGCGAGAAAAAGCTGAACAAACCAGGACTTTTGCTGTTCTTATTAAATAGCTGAGGAATAATGAAGCCAATGTTAATTTTCGAAGAAATGGTGTCTTCCACTTTGGTTTTTCAGCTGCACTACTACTTTTAAAGCAATTTTCAAAGACATTTGGCTATGTGTCAGGATCCTTATCAGTCAGAATTCAGAACCTACAGGACAGAAACATTGGTTTCTGGCATTGGTTGTGCTTTTGGATGACCTCTGGAATGGACAGGATGGGGGTAGTGCATCCATCCTTGCCATACTGGACCTCTTAGTGGCTTTCAATACCATTGACTGTGATATCCTTCTGGATCTGCTGAGAGGATTGGAAATGGGCAGTACAGTGCTGTGTTGTTTGGTCCTTTATGACCAATTCCACCACCACTTAGTGATGATTGGGGTGGACCAATCACCAATCCCAGGATTTGGTGCTTTGTCCTTTCCTTCTTATCATCTACATGAGATCCCTGTGTGAACTCATTTGTTGCTATGGGGTGAGGTATCATTGGCATTCTGACATACTCAAATATATATCTCCATCTTTAGTGAATAAGATGATGGCATGAATGTCTTATCCTTATGCTTGGAGGCTGCTAGGGTCTGGACGAGGAACAATAGGCTTCAGCTGACACTGGCAGGACTGAGTGCTTTGGATTTGGGGGCCCACTGGTTTCACTAAATCATCTTTGCTGGTGAATGGGGTTGCATTGCCCCAGACTCAGGGCACAAACCTGGGGTGTTCCTTGACTCATGATACCTGCTTGATGAGCAGGTGACATTCCTGACTAGGAAGAGCTTTGTACAACTTTGTCTTGTGCACAAATTGCACACGCTCCTGAACTGGCATGCCTTGTTTACAGTCACTCATGCTCTAGTCATTTCCAAATTGGATTACTGCAATGCGCTCTGCATTGGATTGCCCTTGAAGAGTATCCAGAAGCTTCAGCTCATACAGAATGCAGTCATACGAGCAATTATGTGCATTCTCGAGCAGAGCATGTTATATCTCTGCTCTGTCATTTGTACTGGCTAACAGTGTGCTTCACATCCAATTCAAGCTGTTGGAATAACTTTTAAAGCCCTTCATGACATAGAACTGGGATACATGACGGACTGCCTCTCCCCAGTTATATCAGCCTGTCCCATTAGTCCTGGCAGCGAGGTCATGTTGCGGATTCCACCAGCTGGAGAACTGCATTTGATAGTTCCCAGGAGATTTGCCTTCTCTGTCATGGCACCTAGCTTATTGAACAACCTTTCCTCCAAATTTACATTACCTCCCTCCCTTTTGATATTCCAAAAGGCCCTCAAGTCCTTATTTACCCAATTTCTCACAAAACATACCAGAGTCATTTCCAGTGCTGTTCCTCTTGGCATAGGCACTGCGGACCACCTGTTCATAAACCTGGGCTCCTATCGTTCTCATATTTTCACGTATCATGATACCTTGGGCTTGCACCATGAAGAGGTAGGTGTTCACTGCAAGAAAACAAAGATAAGACTAGTTATAGCCTTCTGAAAAAGGGAATGAATTCTGAAATATTTCAGAAACCGCTCTTCTTTTTTACCAATATTTTAGAAAGTTATTGTGCAATTTAAATAATTTAAAATAAATTTAAAATGAATATATTTACTTATGTTCTAGTAATACAATTGTAGAAATTTGTATTCCAAATCATCGCAGAACAAAAGAATATTAAGAAACATACACATTATTTTGTTATATTTAGATCCCATCGTTTCTCCTCCTGTTTATTTAATCTTATAACCCAAACCTGTGAGATAGTTTGAGCTGATGTGCACTAATTAATCTAAATTTATTAAAATGACTTTCCATAGTTGAAGGGCATGAACTTAAGCTATCCTAATCATGATCAAGCATCCCAACCATTATAGCTGGTAAGTTCTTATGAATGTAAGAGTACAAATTATTTTTTAAACAACAATAGTTACCCCTTTGCATATGAAGTCCATTCATTCCCTACTTAATACAACTGATATTGCTGCTTCAATCCTCTACCTTAAAATTTCCATTTATTACTTTTGAAATCCAAAGAGACAATAACTTTTATTTTAATAAGCTAATCAAAATTTTACAAAAGCAATCTTTTTACCAACTTCCAGTTTGGATATATTTAAAAAGTGCAACAGCAAATGTAAAAGCAATCACATTTGGGGAGGATGGGCTATTAGCACGAACACATTAGTATTAACTTGATAATTATGAACATGCACTAAGTATGTTAAGTTTTAACTCTTTTGAACTCAAACTACACACTGCTTAAATCATTCTAGAAATATTACTCACTTAAATTATAAAGAAGCACTGTGATCTTGAAAGATGCCCATTTTGGAGTTAGAACTCTTTCTGGAAAATTATTATTGAAGTTCTAAGAAATGATTATTGAGCATAAAAGAGGATAAGATGGTAAAAATATTAACAGAGGGCTAGAGAAAAAAGAACTTAAACAAGATCAAAATACTGAAAAGAAGTCAGAGCACAGAGAAGGAAGAATATAGGAAGCTGAACTCAGCTATTTGGTTCAACAACCTGATGCATGTCAGGAGCTTGTTATGCTTGGCAATAAAGATTGACATATGCTGGTATCAGCATCTAAACCTTAATATTTATCAGCTTATTTGTACAGACAGAACTAAAGTTGGACTATTTGAACTACTGCTCTTATATTCAATTACATTTTCTAAAGTAAAGAAAACCCAACTCAGAAAAAAAACTAAATATTGCAATTCTTACACTGACATTATATAAACAGTAACTACATTAAGCAAAACAAAAGGACAATTCTATGACTCCATGGCTACAGAGAACCCTGTGGTGTTTTGAGCTTTGACAGGTCAGCAAAAGGTCACTTTAAATATTATAATTAGAAACTCAAAACTGTAATCTAGCTCACATTACAAACATGAGACATTGTTTCTACCTGCTCTTTCTAAAAAAGAGTCTTCAAGATTTCTTGACTTAAAAAAACAGGATTATGAGCAAGCCATCCCTCATAAAAGATGTCCTGTCTTAAATCAATGCCAGATGGATCCCCCACCCCTTTCCTAGGGTAGCCCTTCAATACAGGCTCTGTGGGAATTGAACAGAGATGTTTCACAAGAGAAATGAATGTGTGTTCACAAGACAATTTATAGGGCGGGGTATAAATTAAAGTAATAAATAAATATATAATTTTGTTCCTTGGACAGCAAAGGTGACTAACAAGCAAATACTTGAGCGCATAACACCGGACATGTCACAAGAAGGCAAAATCACAAAACTGAGTCTGACTTACTTTGGCCATGTCATGCAGGGAAATTCACTGGAAAAAACAATTATGTTTGGAAGAGTTAGCGGTAAAAAAAAAAGGGGGGGAAACCAGGCCGTCAAAGAACATGGTGGCTGGACAGACACCATCAAAGCTGACACAAGCCAGAGGATAGAAAAACTCAAAGTAGTGCAAGATCTGAAGATGTGAAGAGACCTGGTCCACAGAATCGTGAAGAGTCAGACGTGATTGAATGGATATCATCATCATCATCATCATCTAACTTTGTAATGTATTCATTCTGCTCTCAGTCTTCAGCTATTACTGTTTGTTGGACATTTCTATACGTTAAAACTAGGTTTAAACACTTTCTGCAACTCTAATGTATATGTGACAACTTGAAAAAGCCAGAAGTATCAAAATTAAAAGGATACCCTAACTAAATGCTTATGGTTATGTTCTTTTCTTATTTCACAAAAAGGGATTCCAAAAAGATTTCAAATTCAGACGTTAAGAAGCCTGAAGCCACTAGCAAAACAGCATCTTTATCTTCCTATATTGTTCTGCACAAAATTATATAAACATTTTAAAATTATATAAAATTGTAAAAAGTTACAATTCAATAAAATAAATTTATCACACTGAGAAATGACATTCAGATGGAAATAATTAAGAGATACGCCATTTCTATTAAGGTTCTTTAACTAAATGAAACCTAGATAAAACCTGAATTGGAAAATACACATTTCATATATTATGTCTGAACACTTGATTATGGTTTCTTCTACTTTAATCTACTTCAGATACATGCTGAAAGGCTGTTCTTTAAATAACAAGAAATACAACACACTGGCCTAAAAACTATCAAGAACACCAAGTATCTGAGCATTATCAAAGACAAACTGCAAGACTAGTCTCCCTTTGATTTTGTTATTCATTTTTAAAGAACAGCAGAACACAATCAATTCTCAGAAACATTTTTGTGAGCTACTGTTGCCAAGGTATCATCAAATAAAATCTGCAAGATTTCAGCAAATGTGGCAAATCTGCACCTGGCCTTTCAAACTGGAGGACTGCCTGTCTCTTTCCAGTAAAAAATCTCTGAATAGGTAGTAACATGACTTTCTATGTAACAATCTGTCGATCCAATATGTAATTTTCATTTTAAAATGATTCTAGGTCAGTTAAAATCTTTCTAACATTAGAACCTGTAACAGCATACTCGTTCTTACAGATATAAACTTTCAGCCATACACCAATATATATTTGAGTCCATCTGTTCTAAAACCCTAAATATAGAGATGGTAAGTACCCAACAATAAGGAAGTGATTTGGCCAAATCATCCTTATCTGCCTGGATGCTCATCTGGTAATAGGCAAAATACTGTCTCTACTTATTTTGGATTACTACTATTCAAACAGGTATTTGAGGCATCTCAAATCTGTATCCATAGTTAATGGGTTATTTATTCTTAAGAGACAAACATCCACTCTCTTACAAAGCTCTTCTCAGCTTCAAAACCATTTTACTAGAACCCATTTAAAAAATGGAAATCTCTTGCATACAAAATTGGATGAAGTTTTTATTCTTGTTTATACAATTATGATTAAAATTGGACAGGAAAAAATAAAAGTCACTACTTTGAAGGCTAGCATGGCAAATTGGAGGAAGAGCTTATGGAAAAAGGCAAACACTAACTTCTACACTTCTGTAAAGGATGAACATGCACAAAGCAAGCTTCCTTGGTTTTGAATATCTAATTATTTTTCAGAATGTAGAATTTTTTCAAGCAAGCCAGTGAACTCATTTTTGAATTATATGTGCAGCACAATCCATTTAAACTAAGTCCATTAACTCTCTAGTTCAGTGGTTCTCAACCTTTTTAATGCCGTGACCCCAACCGGTCATAAGTCAAGGACTAAACCAGTCGTACGTGGAGGACTAAACCTGTCGTAAGTCGAGGACTAAACCGGTCGTAAGTTGAGGACTACCCAACTGGTCGTAAGTCGAGGACTTTCCCTGCCCGGGAGTGCCGCACATGCGTGGTTCCGCCCCCTGCGCCGGCTGAGGCGTAGCTGGCAAGCGGCAGAGAAGGAACAGGCCGACCACCAGCTGGCCCAGCCCAAGGGAGGTAAGGCACCCACCGGAAAAGGGGAAAAAAATGGCGGACAAAAAAAATGGCAGACAGCCTTGCTTGGCGACCCCCATGAAATGGTCGATCGACCCCAAATGGGGTCCCGACCCACAGGTTGAGAACCACTGCTCTAGTTGGTGGAATTAATTCTGCCAGTATAATGTTGATATGTTAAAAACTCATTTATTTAGGATTTTGTTTAAAACCATATATGTGAACCGTTACTTATTTCAGATTTTCAAACTAAAAAAATGTTTCCTAGAAATGGCTAGAATAATGCTAAGATGGCAACTATCAGAAAAATCTGCAACATTCTTACCTATTTCAGTAATGGTTGAATAGATATTTGAGAAAAAAAGTACAGAGTAGCACTCTTACACTAATTAGAAGAGGAATGTCAGAGAAGAGAGGAAAAAAATCACCTTCACTATTTCATTCTACCAACCATCTGGTGGATGAAAAGTTGTTGCATCAATGGAATGATAGCACCAGTTTCCACCTTATTATCAGATACTTGGCTTCTACGTTGGCTGAATTATTTAATTATATATTTGATGTAATAAAAATGCTAAAAAGATAAGCTGATAATGCTATCTAGTTGATATTTTGAATACCCTGAAACAGAGGGTACATGTAATGTTTTGTGAATTGACAAAACAAGGTTCTCTGCTTCTCCAAAAACTTTTAATTACAAAAGCAATTTGCTAACCAGTAATGGAAATCAGCACGAAAAGCAGAAAGATGCTAAAGTAATTTTATTATTTGCTTAGCAATACCATGGGCATTTAATAATGCAGATAAAAGACAAAACCTAATATTGATTTTGAATTGGAGTGAATTGTGGTTTTGGCGTTACATTTATTCATTTATTGGGTTTTGAGGCAGCCCAACTCTAAAAAGACTCTTGTGGTGGCTTACAATATTTAAAAGAACACATAATTGAAAAGGAACATGACTTTTTGGACAAAACCACATTAGTAACACTTCCCTCACCACACCTCCACACAAATAATTGCTTGCCAGGGGTTCCTTAAAATCCTTACCCTAGATCTGAGAACAAAGCCAAGACTTCA